GATGAACAAAAGGAACACAAGGTCACCTGGCTGTTGTGGCTCAGTGGTTGAGCATGGACCCATGAACCAAGAGGTCACCGGATGAATTCCATGGTCACTGGTTGTGGGCTCAATCCCTAATGGGGGGTGTGCAGGAGGCAGCCGATCAATGTTTCTTTCTCAATGTTTCTATCTCTCTATCCTTCCCCCTTTCTCTCTCTCTAAAAATAATAAAAACACTTTTTCCAAAAATAAAAGGTCATTTCGGGAACTCCCCACAGAGGGGTCCCCTGTTACCTGAGTTCCTCGACATTAGCCACACTCCTGGCAAGAATCCCCTTTTCCCGGCGAAGCTTCTTGATCTCAAGCTTGAGGATCCTCATGTCCTCCAGCCTCTGGTTGTACTGGATCTCGCCTTTATTCAGCACCGACTGTTGGATCTTGATCTTCTCATAAAGCAAAGCCAACTCATCGTTGCGACGAACGAGCTGCGACCCGAGGATATCTCTCTCGCCGATGACCTAGAGAGGTAGGGGAGGACATGGCCACCAAGGGACAAAAGGTCTCACTTTTCATTATGGCAGCAGCATTCACTCCGCCGATGAATACCCAGCCAATGGCCACATGAGCTCCGCACCCAGTGGGTGGAGCACTGGAAATGGTCTGCTAGTCAATCAACACTGCACTCCTCCCATGAGGGCTTGCAGTCTTGTTAGAAAGAGTACAACATATAATCCATCGCAATAATAATAATAACAACAATCCTTGGCCCATAGGTGTTGGGTCATTTTTTTCCAACCCATTGTTTTATAAATGCTTCCATTTGAGTGACTTATCATGGGCTAGCCCTTGCCACACTACACCACTCCTCACTGTCTTACACAGGCCATTTCTTTTTATTTAACCTGCCTGTTCTCTGAAAGCATTTGTTTGTAATCCCCATACTATGTAATTATTAATTACAGTTATATGCAAGCAATTATATTACACTAGAATGTTAAGCTCCCTGAAGACAAGGATCTTACATTCTTATTGGTCAATGGATCCTCAGGTCCTAGAGGAGTGACTGCCACATAGTAAGTACTCGTAGATATGACTTGAATAAATAAATATTTCATAATTAATCAAGAGAAGATGAGCCTCTGCTACTGTTCTTCCAATAAACTGAGTGGAAGAGCTTAGAGAAGAACTCGGACTTGTGAAGAGTTGAGTCAAACAGTTGTGTCTGCTGATGAGGTTGGTGGGTCTGGTGAGGAGATGTTCCTACCTGGTCTAATTCCTTCTTCTGTCTCAGCCTCTCCCCATCAGCCTCGGCAATAATGCGCAAGAGTTTTCGCTCTTCAGCTTCCTGTTTTTCAATGAAGTGTTTGGTCTCCAGGGCTTGTTGTCTCAGCTTCTGCAGCTCGGCCTGAGAAAGAGTGAAAGATACGGGCAAATTTCACGCTGTAACAGCACAAACCAGGACTGCAGGGTCCAGAATTAGATGTACCGTGTACTTCTCACACTCCCCTCTGATGTTTTAACATGGTTTGATCACTCTCACAATCAAAACAATCTACACACACACACACACACACACACACACAGCCTGTAAAGAAACAGCAATGCACATTACAGGGATCATGTTTATTCCATGAGTTGTGCCCTTGGGGATTTCCATCATTTTTCTATATGTGTGTAGCAGGGTCTTCATTGGTATTCAGCTGCACTTCTCTCACCAACTAAAAATGAGGAGAATTCGCAAAGAATAGTGCAGGAGAAAATGTGGGGGTAAGCATGGGGAGGAATCTTTGTATGTGCCAGCTCCTGTAATGGTCCTAATACTACCAGCACATCAACTACAGAGATAAAGACCATTTTAAGCAAAAATTAAATGAATAAAGATAACAGCCCATTGTCTATCTTATAAAATATATTGATGAAAGAGAAGAGATATCATACATAAAAAGATATATAGATCCTACTCCTAAGATGCTTCCAACCTAGATGAAAAATAAGATATACAAGTCTTACGCAAATTTTAACAAGTCCAGGCAATAATGTGTCCATGTCGTTATTGTCACAAAGACAGTGATTCGATGTTACCAGAGGTCAGAGGACTGGGATTGTCAGGGAAACTTCCTGGAACTAAATGCAGATCTTGCAGCTCTTTAGGTTACACGGAACTCATAAGAATGATGGAGAAAGGGTGTTATGATCTGCTACGTTTCAGAAGGAAAATTCCTCTCTTCAAAGAATACATTCACTTCATTTCCACAAGTATATTTGTGACCTACAGAATCCTACAATATCCTAGGCATGATATTGGGTATTTTGCATAGCTACCTGTATTCCCATTTTACAAATGCAATTACAGAGACAAAGAAAAGCAAATTAACTCACCCAAGGTCACACAGCGAGTACATAGCAGAATTGAGATTCCAACCTGGATCTTTTGGCCCCAAAGCTATCATCACACAACACGTCCAAGTCAAATACAGGAGAAGAGTAAGACCTGGGGGTTGCTCCATCCATTGGAGATGATGAATATAACCAACCACACTACGGTGTCAAAAAGTTATGAACAGTATGAAAAAGGACATGGGGGTACACAGGAGTAAGTTCCTATTTCTGCCTGGCGTTTAGATGAAATAGCCAGTCAGGGCCTTGGCAGGTAACAGATACTCCCAAAGGGGACGACTCTATTTTATGGGGAGAGTAGCTTGCAGTCAGGCTTGTGTGAACAAAGGCACATGCAAACTCTAAAGTGCCCAGTGCACTCACCAGTCAGCAAAACATCCCATGTGGCTGGATCAGAGTGTTAGGTAAAGAACAGCAGGGGGTAAGGCTGGTAAAACAGCTGAGCCAGCCTGGAAGGGTCTCGTAGGCCACACACTGTACAGTGTGGGCAATGGGGAGCCATAGAGGTATCCAGGCCCAAATTGGGAAGACAGGTGATATCACAGACCAGGTGAGCACAAGAAGAAACAAATGGGAGGAGAGCTCTGTTTTACCCTTACTGAGAATCACAAGGGAGATCGCAAGACAATATTAAGGTTCCAACTCTTCAATGGCTTGCAGATCAGCAAATGACAGTGAGAAAGTAATAACATTTTCTTTCAAGGAAATATTGGCCTCCTACTCATAAATCTCACTGGGGTGCTAGAAAACTCCATATTTTTAAGTGCCTATAAACCACCCCAACTCTTCCTAAGGTCTGTCTCTAATCCATGAAGACCAAGAGTCATTAACTCCATACTTCAAACTTATCCAAGCAGTAGAAGATACTGTGCGATGCCGCAAATGTGTAATGTCACAAACTAAATGCAGTCAGCTACTATAAAACCAAGGGCTTCTCCGATGACACTTTGTTTGTTCACTCATGAAATACGTTCTGGTCCAGGGATAAGCAAAAGGAAATACTTACTGAGAAAATATCTGGTTTAGTATTTACCACTTTGGGGGATTGCCTGTTAGGAAAGCGTTTGAAGAACCGGCCTTTCGATTTCTATAATCATTTAAGGTGACAGCGAAGACAGCAATAAAATACCTGCTTGGCTCATGCTTTCTTTAATAAAACTTTTATTTTCCCAGATGTGTAACATTCACTTCCCTGTTCTTAAGTGCCAAGAGCTGATCAGAATCCATCAGCAGAACAAAATGAAATCCCTGTTATATTAAAATGCAATCAGTGGTGTGTAAAAGTATTTGTCTGGAATGTAAAACCACTAGTGCGTTCGGCATTGCTGGGTGTGTTTTTTCATAATATATCAAAATTCTGAATGGTCTCCTTATGTCACAAATTTATGGGCTGTAAACAAGATGTGGCATTAGGTGTTGGCAGCAAATGTTAACATCAACACAATACCTTTGGTCTAATGCATTTAGCAGCTATCAATCTGAGCTGTCTCACCCAGAAAAGTTGGTAACAACTGCTCTGCACCCAAACACTCATCAAGCAATGTTGTAGGTGGAGCCCAGGATATCAGCATTTCTCAAAGTGGTGTGAAGTTGTAATATGGTGGCTGGACACATTCTTTAGTCACTGCCTCTATAATTATACCATTTTGTAGTAGGTGTTTATGGAATATTCACCATCTAACTTGGTTGAAGGCACAAATCATATCCCCAGAACCACGATTGTGAAAGTTTCACCCATTCATACATGATCCTGATATTCACTGGGCTTCACAGAAATCATGCATTTACATCTAACCAAACAAATAGGGGCACATGAAGCTGTCCATCCATGAGAATAATTAGTGTTTCTCTCTCTCTCTCTCTCTCTCTCTCTCTCTCTCTCTCTCTCTCTCTCTCTATCTATCTCTCTTCACCCCCCCTCGCTCTCCCTCTCTTTCTGACAGTCCCCATCTATATCATTCTAGAGTCCACTAAGTAAAAGGGATGTGGTGCCCTTAAGCCAGACACTAATGTGATGCTCAGCTCTGGACATAAGAATTTGCCACTGAATTTTTCGCCAGGAATCAAAGTGCTGTCAGATTGATGTGGGATGATTGGGAGATGACGAGACAGAATCGGGGGCTTGTTAGGATTAGAGAGCAGACACTCCAGATAAGCTGGCTCCTTCAGTGCTGATGAAACAAGACTGGGACAGACTGGATGCAGCCACGTCCACTGAGAACTATTGACGTTCTGTCATAACCCTAATGTGCTGACAATGGCTAGTGTCCTGAGGAGTCAGTAGAGCCTGGTACAACTTAAAAGGGAAAAGAAACATGAAAGGAGCAAGATTTTTTTCTTTTGAGGGGGTTAAATGAGAATGGGGATGACCTATTATAGGCAACTGTTTATCTGTTGGCTTGGAGAAGTAATAAATTGTGTTATCCTGTCAAAAGGCATCTCCTAGTCTACCAAACAGGTGAGAGGGCCGGCCTTCCAGGGGGATTATGTACCCACATAGCTTTGTAGAACTCACAATAATAGGTTAAATGGCTCTTGGAGAAAAGTTACTAGAAAGTCTGCCCTTTCCCTCGGGGATTTGGTTTTTGAACTACAGATGCATGAAATCCAGAGACCTGTGTGGAACATGATTCAAATTTGAGGCTAAAAAAAGTCAAGAGGCTCAGACTCAACATTTGAGCTGTCATATTTTTCTACAGAATGTCAAATGGGCTTAATGATAGGCCAGAAGTACCCAGTCGAAGCACCACTGCAGGTCACCCTTGGATAACCTCAAATAATAAATCAAGCTGGCATCCTTTTTCTGTTACTCATTTCTCTGCCTTAATGGGAAATGCTGGGGGGAAAGGTATCATAGTTTCACAGTACGTCCAAAGCAATCATCTTACTATAACGGATGATCCAGAGCTATGCAGACCCGGGATTCCCCATTTAGAGCAGAAGCTCTTTAATCACCTTTCATGTGCACCAGCTCTGCTGTACCAGGACCAAAAACCAGGGTCCTATTGACATTTGTTTTATTTTATTATGATGCTTCTTTGGAGCTATATGTGTGGATGCCTGGTGATGGAATGCATAAGTGAAGCCAATGTTAACTGAAGCCAAACACTAAAGAATTAGGAAAAATTGCTCTTTTGCATAGAACATTGCTTATTCTAAAGCAGGATTTGTAGAAGGCAGTTAGTTCCACCTTGGACATTAGCATGGGTTAATAATTCATCTTTTGAATACTAGTAGAGCATTACTTGGGAAAGGAAGAGATGAGGATCAATGCCATCCTGTAAAAGGAAAGAGGTAGTATACTAGATCAAGTTATACTGAAGCCTGGCTAACATGAGTCCATGAGGCCCACAGGTAAAGCAATGTTTATAATAAGATTCTTCTAAATAATTTAATGATAAATAAACCCATTTCCACTATAGGCTTCAGAGTGGAACGAGATAACTTCTATAAAACTAAGTCTTAGAACAAGGACAATAAGAGCAAAGATGCAGGAAAGTTTCAAATTTTAGAAAATGTATTCATGTTTTTTTATATAAATATCAATTTTAATGCAGAATCTTCTATTATTTTTTATCATAAGCTAGAGTTGGGAGATGAAAGTCTCAGACAGGCAAATGTATAAATTACATTTTTTGTAAAGATGCCTTTCTTACATGTTAATCTTTCTCAAACCAAATGTGCCTTGATTTAACGTAATGTAGTAGTTCTAGTTCCATGAAGACCTATCATTAGTTTACAAAACCCATTTTGAGAGTGCATATTTCAATTGATGGCATCTTGGAATCAAGGTTGTATGGCATTAAATCTATCCAATACAAGGATATGTGTATTAAATCTGATTACACATTTTCAAGATAATCTGATACACTCTGCAAGCTAATATGCGCAGAAAACAAGGTATTCAGTTCTCTTGTTTGTTATAGATAGTTCCTGCAAGTGGCTCATAAGCATCCATGATTATTCTGCATGTATATTTTCAAAATAAAAGTGCCATCATCTTCTCAAAAGTTCCTTTTTTAATTCTTTGGTCAAATAGATTAGAAGGGAAATCTACTGGATTGAATAAAAAAGGAAAATATATTAGGTTTAGTAAATGTGTATAGTAAAACATATTTGGTTCAAGAATTTGAAATGGTATAATCATTTGGTATGTATTCTTAAAGATAGTCTTTATGTTAGCAGACATAAAATGTCCTAATTAGTAGATTTAAATATATATATATTCAGAGGTGATTCCCAGGGGGAGTTGCTGCAAAATTTTTAGATCCAAAGAGGTAAGGTGAACTGTGAACCTGAGTTGAGGGCAAATCAAGTGAGAACCCAATAGCTAACGATACTGCAGGCAGAAAGTCATGCACACGTGAAGTAAACAGCAATTAGGAGCGGAGGGACAAAGGGTCTTGCCAACATTGCTTTATAGAAGGCCCAGGGAGGAGAGTAGGAGGGCTGGGCCTGGGTTGTCAATGCAAAGGGATTGTGGGAAGCCTGCAAGCTCCAGGACTTCCTCGGCACTGCTGACCTGCTAGGTTCTCTTCTGCTGACGTGATGATGACAGCCAACATAGCTGACCCAGGTGTTTGTACATCTCCACTGGCCTTGTCCTTGTTTACCTGGGAGCACCCCCTGTAAGGTAGCCTGTTCTAGAGGTGGCAGAACTCATCCTCCTGGCACCTTGGCTGTACTCCCTGCCCCGTGTTGCCTTAGGTGAGCGTATAGCCTGCCTTGACTAGAGAGACTATTGGTCCATCACTTTCATCGTAAGATCTGTACCTTCAATGTTTCCTTCTCCTTCTCTATGCGCTGCTGTTCCAGATGTAGCTTCACGAGCGCTGACTCTTTGGCAGAGATTTCTTCCTTCAGCTGATCTACCTGATGAGTCATAATCTTTAATTTTTTCTTCATTTCTGTTATTTCATCCTAACAAAATGAAAGGAGAAGTGTTTGGAAGTGAATTAAATTGACACCACAGTCCCTATGGAAGTTCAAATGCATATTCGAGAACTCTTAAGGGAGGCCCTTTCAAAACAGTGGTCTCCTGATTACTTATGACTGGGCTATTCCTTCGTATGCTGTGCCATCAACCTCACTGTACTTTATAGCAGGAACTCTCAAAATATTCTCAATGAGATATATACAAAGTATGCATAATGACTATGCCAGACACACACACACACACACACACACACACACACACTTATTCCTCATTTTACTAGAGAAGAATTGGAATCACTGCAAACATTATAACTAAAAGATTACAAAGCAAAACTCTGCAATTAAATGACAAGAGTACACTGCTCCCCTCTGAGTCACAGCAGCTATTAGCAGCTTTAAAAATTAGAAACAGGAGAATGGCAATACTACATAATAATTAAAAGCCAGACTGAGATATTCACATCCTATCAAGTTGAGTCATTTCCATTTCAAACAATCTGAGAGTTCTGCATATAATTCATCTTTTTCTTTTCAGTGGAATTCCACAAGATTATTTTCTTGATCTATTCTAAATTCTGCTATTAGGATGATAGAAATTGCTTTGAACCCAGGATGGGGAGGAATCAAAGTATAAGGACATAAATACATTCTTTACCTGAGCTTCCACCAGGTTTTTGCTGTACAGATTCCTGTCTGACCTCACAGCTTCGTACAGGTTCTGTTGCTGTTTTAATTTAGTCTCTGATTCAGCGATTTTCTTTTTGTAGTCAAAAATCTGCATTTCGCGGACTTTTATGTCTTCCATGTTCATGAGGACCTGGAGGAGAAAGAATACTGAGGTGGTTAAACAGCCCATCTGTGGTTACCAGTTCAGTACACAGAGATTTTTCTCCTAGGGAAGCTAGTAGAAATGCCAGCCATCAAAAAATTGGACTGTGCCTCTAATCACTGAGGTACAACACAGAAAGTCAGCCCAGCTGATTAGGGGCAAACATACATTTTATCTCCTCTGGAGTTCTGCTCGAGCATGAGCTAAGCACAGTTATTTTGTGATCACAAGAGGGGAGGGGCGGGAAATAAAGAAATCCTTTCAATTTTGAAAACCTCTCCTGATGACCTCAACTACCAAAAAGAGAAAGGAAATAAAGTCTCAGGTTTAAACAGATCTTAACACAGAGGGCTCGGAAAGATAAGAGATAAGTTAGCTGTTTGGCTACACTTGAGTCTTTGTAGTTAAACACAAGAAAGAAAAGTGGCCTTTGAACACTGACAGCAATCACTACACTGTCATGCCAACGCCAGTGTCACTCCATCAGGGAAACTCCAAGGGTTCCATAAAACTGTGTTCTATCGCGCACAAAACATTTCTGGGAAAGATAAGCTTCGAGAATAACTGCCTCTTTTTTGCAAGTACGGAAAACTGAGGCACGAAATTCCTCAGAGAGCCAGTACCTCTCAAACAAGCAATCCATACAATGAGAGTTACATCATCATGACTCTCGGCTCAATGTCCACAGAAATTAATATTTATGAACAAACTTCTTCAGAAATTCCTTAAGTAGAAAAATGTTAGTAATTTGCTCTCTGGAACTCTGGTCTAAACAATACATAGAACTAAGACACATAAGGAGAAATTTCTTAAGCTGTCACTGCATTTCAGTGAAGTTCTCCTAATTATTGGCCAGAATGGAAGGAAATAAACAGCGCAGTATGCTAGAGAATAAAAGGACAGGGTGTACTTGAAGTAACACAGCCGGGGAGATTCCTCTGAAAAAGAGGCATTTTACCTAGAATCTAAAGGTCAAAAAGTACTTAGATCTTTGCCATGCTGACATTCATTGATTCAGGTGTGGGCGACCTGTGAGCAGCATGTCCCCAAATCATTGCACTACAGAATTCTTTTATTCCACTGGTGGAATTAGTATTCTGGAAAATTCACTTGGAGAAACCCTGCTGTTATATTTTTCCTTCAGGGTCAATGATGGCTGGTGTTTACATCTTTAAATAAACACCTTTCAAAGTTTTCTTGGACTTATAATTAAGGAGAGATGGCATTAAATTTTAGCAAGTGCCTTTTCAGCATATATTATTTTACAGCATTTTTTCTTATTAGGTTTATTGATTGGATATAGTTGTATTCCTCTTACAAGTATTTTAATTTTATTTCTTTATACACAATTCTGTGTGCCATAATTTTAATTAAATGCATAAATGTGAAACATACATTTATTTTATTTTCCTTATTTATTGGAACTTCCTTCTCTCTTGAACCCACATCAGCCCCTCATTGGTTCATAAAGTAACCGGGTTAACAATCTAGTATGTGTTCTTCCATATATTTTCTTTGAATTCTGCATATTCTATTCAAGTCCAGGAACATCATCATCATCATAGCTAATATTTCTCAGGCACTTCCTATGTAACTCATTTAATCTTCCCCAAAATCCTATAAAATAGACATCATCACCACCCTGCTGTTCAAAGAAGGAAACCAAAGTCAAAAGAAGTTATATCATTCACAACTATTCTACTAGGACATATACAGACACAGGAATTTGTTGGTTTTCATTTTGCTTTTGGGGGTTTGGTTTTTATGTTTTAGCAAAATGGGATCTTCTTATATATACTTTTATGCGCCTTGCTTTCTATCATTCAATAGTACTTTGTGGAAATCATATGAACTAGCTCTAATTCATTCTCTTTAAAGTTGGTATAAAATCCTATAGTGTGAGGGTACCATCCTATACTCAGCTCTTCCCCTCGGTGGGCCATTAACTTCGTTTCCACTGTTTTGCCACTATGAACCACGCAGCAATGAACAGTGTTGTACATATGTCCTTTTACTTATTTCACTTGTGCTTTTAGTTCTGCTGGGATGGATCCCCAGGAGTGGCATATCTGACTCAAAAGAAATATATCTTTTTAAACTTTAATAGATATTGCTAGATTGCTTTCCAAAATGGTTGTAACACTGCACATATCCATACTGCCAGCAATAGTTTCCTTAACAGAAAACTCTCCTTGTGGTTTTGGGATAAACTCTCTTTGGTCATAGTGGATGATTCTTTTAATGTACTGTTGAATTTGGTTAGCCAGAATTTCATTTGGGATTCTGCATACATATTCATAAATGATCTAACTCGATCCCCTTCTTTTTGGTTCTATTTTAAAATCAATGTTTCTGCTGGTTTCAGAAAATGAAAGGAATCCCTTTCTGTTCACTTATTAATTCACTTACCCATTTATTCATAAACATGTCATTGAGGACTTATCTAGGGCAAGCACTATAAAAGCACTGGCGATGTAAAGAATAATAAGACTCATTGCCTGCCCCCAAGATCACCTCTGGTGAGTGACTTAACCATAAAATGGATAATCAGGGAATGGATACAACCAGTAAACTGAGATATGCACAGAATGTTATGAGGGTCTGAGGATGGTCCTACCTGTCTTATCTAAGCAGTTAATATTGGGCATTTACAGAATTTGTGGGAACTGCCTCTTGCCTTCATATTCCTCAATCATTCCAACCTCAGACCCCAAGCTCTCTCTTGGTCCTAGAATCTTTTTTCATTACCACTGCAGAAGGCATGGGTAATATCAGCACAGCAATGCCAATCAGTATTACCCAAAAGAATACAAAGTGCATGGCCAGCACTTTTCTAAACTTATTTGCAAATTATATATGCGTGTGTGTGTGTGTGTGTGTGTGTGTGTGTGTGTATTAGCCTGGGAATTATCTGATTCTTAAAAGTTTGAAGAAACTCAACTCTATAATCATTAGGCCCTCAGTGGCAATTTTGGAACTAATTTTCTCTCAACTTCTTTGGTAGCATCCATAGTTATTGATCTTTCCACATTTTCTACTTCTTCTTGGGTCAAACTATGATATTCACACACATTTTTGAGAGAACTATTTCAAACATTTTTTAAATGTATGTGTCTAGAGTTGTACAACATAATTTTATGCTTTTACTATTTTACTATTATTATTTGCTATCAACACTTTGTGTGAAAAAAAAATGGCCCAAGGTAAAAATATATACAGACCCAGCAGTAGATGTCTTGGTTGGGGGCCTACAAAGAACAAAATTAGCCCTCGCTGATCTGGTTCAGTGATAGAATGTCAGCCTGTGGACTGAAGAGTCCCAGGTTCAATTCCGGTCAAGGGTACATTCCTGGATTGTGGGCTTGATCCCCAGTAGGGGGCATGCAGGAGGCAGCCAATCAATGATTCTCTCTCACCATTGATACTTCTATCTCTCTTTTCCTCTCCCTTCCTCTCTGAAATCAATAAAGATATATTTTTTAAAAAAATTATAAGACCTGCGACAAGGAGGTCTGTGGAAGAGGCATGTGAATAGATTTGAAATGAAAAGCAATTCCCTTCCTTCTTCAATGTCTTTGATCCATATCATCAGGTTCCTTAAAAATGAGTAGTAGATGGACTTTCAAGATACCACCACTAGTAAATGTGAAACCTGAGTAAGCTATCCATGACTGGGTCTGTTACTGGCTTGATTTTTTTTTAAGAAATGCACCTTTCTCTGAACATGATCACCCTCTCTGGGGTCAGTGAAACGAATAGATTGAAGATACTTTGAACAGCATGATCAGCATTTGGAATATCAAGAGGCACATCAGAGGAAAAAAAAAATCTTCAATCACTCTGGGAGGTGTTATAATCATCCTTCACACAGGCAGAATAATGCTCCAGATAAAGGGTTCCCATTATCTTTTGGGGCATCCAGTAGCAGGGTCCGCCTCTCTGCAACAACAGTGCACAATCCCACTTCTGCATCCTTGAAGCTGGGAGGAATAAGAACCCATCGTGATACCAAGAAGATCAAAGGCATTTCAGTTAAATGACAATGAAAAAATAAGTATTGAAACTAAGTGAAAAGACAATTCACAAAGCCATCTAGTTCTGAGTGTTGAGAACCAAACTTTTTTTTTTTTTAAGGAAATCATTCAAAGCAATGTCATACAGAAGTTCCAGTCCTGAAAATTCATAAAACGTGAGGGGTGTTAAGTAGGAGCAAAACCTTTTGTCAGCAAAACATCCCCCCATTAAAAATGGCTTATCAGAGACGTGGGGTGCCAGCTGTGGGGCTGGGGTTAAATTAGTTGATTACACTTTAGATATCTCAACCCAACACATGAGATAAATCACACCCAAATATAGAAGGTTTTATCACAGCCAGAGGGTTGGAGCTCCCAGCATTTGCAGGCCCACTTCAGAGGAGCCCAGAAACTGCTTATGGTGCACTATCGGGGTACAGTCCCAGTTTATAACCTACTCCTGCCTTTTCTTTTTCTCTTAGAACAACCTGCCAATAGAAATAAGGCTGAGATAAAAATCAATAACACAGGCTGGAAAGCTGCAGCGTAGTCAAAACATCATATAGACGAAGGCAGGGTAAGGAAGTAGGTCACTGAACGTGGAGCTCTTTAACTTGCATTTGATGAAATAGTGCAATAATCTTTTCAAATGAGTTTTTCCTGACTCGATGTCAATGGTCTGAATGCTGACAATGCCTTTACTTTCATAAGAACACTGAAAAACTCACTCTCAGGAAGGAAGAACCTGGGTGCCCAGGCAGGTGAAATGTTAAATTTACTCACTTCCTTGTTTCATCCTCTATCTTAAATGTATAGTGGCATACCTATGTTTCTGGTTTTTTAATAACATTACATTATACTATATAATGAGGGATATACTGATATCTACCTCAGAGGACCATTGAGGATTTGAGTGAGAAAATGTGTATTTGTCATGGAACTTATTGAGAATTTCAGAGGGAAGGCATGGGTGGG